GGGACGGAGTCGCAGCAGCATCTGCGAGACCGGCATGTGATCACAGGGGGGCACAAGGCAAAGAGGAAATGCGTTGCGTCGTGGCCAATCGATTGGACGTGCAAGACTCCGAGTGCCGGCAGTGGGGAAGGAACTGAGCCAAACACGAAGGTGCTTTTCTTTGTTGGACGGATTCGTATGTATAACGAGAGGCGTGGAAGAACAGAAACAGTTTGATGCACGCACGCACGGGATGTTCGCCGGGCAAGACAAGAAAAAAGGACGAAGACGGCTTCGAGACCTTGAGATTACAACTGAGACCAGTTGAGATTGCGGTGGGGCGCCATGGGAGGGTCGATCGGGGTCCTGCAGAAGCTGATCTGCTCGGGCTGTCGGAATTATGTAGTGCCGATCGACTTTTCGAAGCCTCCGAATCATCCATTGCTTCGATATTGCCGTTTCATCCACGCAGATCAAGATTTGGGGACATCATCTCGAATTTCGAGAAGAACATAGCATCTCAATATACGATACTCGCACTCGTACTACTACCGAGATGCCAGTCAATCTTAACCTAATCGAGCCCTAGTCCCGCCATCGTCACGTTGCACGCACATGGAAGATTTACGACGGGATTGAATACCAGACTCGAGCCCTGCCCGACAAAGACCCGGGCTCTGTCGCTTACCTAATCACAATGCCCCTCCATATACTCCTGAGAAGAAATTTTTTTCCTGCTGTTTCAAACTTCATTTCGTTTTCAGCTCGACAGGCACCGGTGGCTGCTTTTTTCCTTTACAAGAAGATCACCACACGGTGAACGCCTGTAGCCGTCGAGATGCCCCCCTCTTTAAGGGGTTCACGACATGGCCATGGATGCACCCTTGTTGCGCGGTCCCAGCCAATGTCTGTCGCTTGGGCCTCGCAGGCCTTGTTCAGGGATGAAAAGCATCCGGATCAACGTCTGCGCTGGAATTGGCCCTTTGCGGAGGAACGGTAGGTGGAGGTGAAGCGTGAAGTTGAACATGTGTGATACCATTGAACGGCATATGTGTGTACAGCAGCGAGCTTTTTCCTGTGCTTGGATTGCTGAAGGATTTTATCAACGTGCCAAGATCAAATCATCTCCCTGCTATTACCAAACACCGATGTCTTGATAACCCCAAGGGCATGGTGCATGACGTTAGGGAGACATTCTTTTTTAGACTTTGTCTTGTTTTCTCTTTGTTCGATTGTTCGCCTCTCAACCGCCTTATCCTCATTTCTCTACATCTGGCGTAGTCGTGTGGTTGGGGTCGCGTTCGGCTACTTGCTTTGTGCGAGGGGCACACAGAATAGCTGCCAAGAATAGAGATCGCCGCCTCCTTTTGGGGCGTCGGATTCTCAGGTTGCCGATATTGTTCTTGGAGTCCCTCGATGCATGTCTGGTATCGTCTTGTACACCCCAATGATGTCGAGACGCATGCCGTGCTCGGGTATAACGAGACTACTAAATACGGCGTCGGATAAAAGAGCCTAATGTCTTGGTGAAGCAGCAGGGTCCTCACTACCTAGGTTGGTAGAAAGTCAAGTCGTCGCTCTACCTAGGTAACGAACAAGCAACATGAGTCTGCGAGGAAAGCCGCTGCTTATCCCAGGGGCGCAGCCATGCTTGCCAAGAGCTGCTACTCCCATCTATTGCCCCCAAGTCCTGTCGCAAGCAAAAACGCCAGCACTGGGTCGCTCCAAGACTCGAGTCTTCTTGTTCCAGGTCAAGCCCCCTCCTGCGCGGCTCAGCTTGTTGGACCAGCCACTCTTTTCTAACCCATAATAATGCATACACACAAGTAGTAGGAGGGTCGTCCAGCATGCGCTGTGTTGCCCTTGCTTATCGCTCTGTTCTTCCTACTATTAGTACTACCTACCTGTTGTCCAGCACAGCATTCGCAGGAGGCTGGCGGCTCACAAGAGAGCTGAGGCGTGAGACAGCGGAGATCTGAAACCGGCTTGCAGGTGGCTTAATGGTGACTGATAGCAGTCAGTTGCACGACACACCGCTTCGAAAGATGACAAGCATGCTTCAGGACGTGGGTTCTGAGGGCTAACATGAATACCTATGTAGGTCCTAGTCGAACAGGGAGCGCCGTTATTCACGCGGATCGCGTCTCAATGACAACAAGGCAGTGTAAATGGATACTAGGTAGCTGACATCTTGCACTGGATATAAGTGACATGGAGCCATCAGACGGGCAAAAGAGGCGGTCACCTCACAGCCGGCACTTGCACGTGGGCTCCAGACAGATCATCCAGCATGAATGGCGACTGCAGGGCGTCGCATGTAATACAGGCATCTCAGTGCATGTACTGTACCTTTTGATGGGGGCTTTTTTTTTTTTTTTTTTTTTTTTTTTTTTTCAATTCATTACGCGCAAGCATCCGACTGATGGCACGATATCCGTGGAACCTTTTCCCATGATGCTAAGATGCCTTTTTGCCTTCCCGCGGCTCCTGCTAGTGCGAGTCACGTACCTGAGCTAGGCAAGCTAAGGTAGGCGGTAGGCACACCTTGAGCTGTACGATAATGCGCATCTCCCTCAACCTCTCCCTACCTTACTCTCTCTTCCAGTGTGTCGAGGCACTTTGGTAAAGCGTGGAAGGGAGAGGCAGCCAACGAAAGGCTACCTTATGTACTGAAGCACAAGCAATGGTCGATCAGGTCACAACGCCTTGAACAGTGACGGAACTGATCAGCGCTTTTCCAGACCGTAATGACAGTGGCGTCTAAAGAGATGCGGAGAGGTCCACGGAGTTGGGGGGTTTTCCGTCTGCTACCAACACTTGGATGACGGCACGGCGCACCAAGTTCGCCTAGGCCGCCTTGCCCGCCTACTTGGCTTATGTGCCCAAGGTAGGGCGTTTGGGATGTGTTATCGTCGGAGTCCGAATGCCGGTGGCTTGGTGTTTTTTTCCGTGGAAGAGGAAAAAAAAAACGGCGATTCGCTGCCTTGCGCCAGCGATGCTTTTCTTTCTTTTGTGGGGTTTTGAGGGTGAACAACAATGGTTGTGCTCTCTACTGTACAAGTATAATACAGAGTTGTCTTGTTCATTCATTCTTTTCAGCACAAAAAGGCGAGACGAGATGATGCCCTGGACAAAGTCGCCGCGGATCGAAACCTCCTCAAAGCCCCGGTTTTGTTTTTGCATCCTGGGCAACGATCGAGATGGTCAAGGTAGTACTCCGTAGCATGTAGTAGCAGCAGTATTAGTGTTGAAATCAGTCTTCATGTTCTCAAACAGGATTGTAGACACTCGAGAACCAAAAACTTGCTAGCGAAACAGTCGTCGCGCTCTGTCAGTTGTCAGATTATGTGCGGCTACTACCAAGATGGGCAAATGACCGATCAACGAGCGATGGGACTTGTTGACAATTCGGATGAGGTGGCTTGGATTGGGATGGGACTTGGCCAAGGGACGGCAGCAGCTAATAGCCCACCGACGCTAATAGACGAAGCCACCAAGTTTTTGGAACATCTGGCAGAAAGCATGCAGAAAAAGAACAAGATCTCCTTTTTGGGTTTTTTTCGGTGACTGTTCTTTTTTTTTCTTTCGCTTCTTGTTGACGAATTGCAGGGACAAGGCGAGGGAATGGAAAAGGAAGGGGAATAGAAAGACAGAGATAAGAAAAAAAAGCAGTCAGATTCACACTGTAACCCCCCCCCACCCCCCTCAAAAAGGTTGCTTGTTTCCGTACATGCACCCGCATTCGTCGCGCATGAATTTGCACGGAATTGGCCGTGAACATGACGGCAAGCTCGAATGCATCAGCCCAGACCATTGGCTGTGGCGCGCCGCTCCAGATCTGCACTCTTGCGCTCGGGGCAAATAGGCTGAATGTATGTCCAGCACAGTATGTAGTGGTGGGCGACAGAAAAGCAGTTGGTTTGTGCAGTCGAGAGTCAACAAGAGTCTACCTAGGAGCCAAGTGCGTGCGCAAACACGTCAGTCACTGACCGTTGAAGCAGCAGCAGTAGAATACATGAGGTGTACATACATGTACCTACCTTACTGTCGAACGGAAGCCTGGCGCTCAACCTGGACTGAACGGGCTCTAGTGCCAGGCCCCGATCCCCTGAATGGAGCCTCCACATGCAGCTCGCACGCCTTGATGCTGTAATATTACATTGGATGCTCCATCAACGTCCACCTACTACCTGTAGAGTAGAGTACAGCACTTGCTGTGAGCATTCAGTTGCAAGAGCAGCAGCAGAGGCCCAGCAGCTGTAGGTAGGGATTGCTGCACTAGCCGACGCCACCGGCAGCCGCATCCAATCTGCCCATCTCCGTCGTTCCGCTCTCCTGGGCGCAATCGGCAGCTGGTTTGTGCAGAGCAGAGCTCTCCAAGTAGTATTACGGGCAGTAGTAGTTGTATGTATGTACAGTAAGGTACCTATGTAGGCGCTGCAGCCAGCTATCGTTCGACTCGAAGAACTGCCGTGATTTTATTTTTTAGCCAATGCTTCACCCCCAGCGGCCAGGCTGCTGTGGCAAAGAAATCAAACATCTCTCGATGCGGTCGCAGACCGTTCCCGGAAGCCTTGTCACTCTATCGTTATCGTGATTTTTTCTCTTGTTCCAGTTTTCCCTTCTTTTCTCGCTTCACCTCCTTCTTTTGCAGCTCGGCGGCCAATCTCGTTGCATCGGCCAAACCCTGCTGCTTCTGCCCCCTTGCCCTCACATGCGGCATTGAGTCTGGCACTCGCTCATATCCCGCACTCGAGCAAGCAAGCAGCAGAGCAGCTGTCCCGCTCGCCCAGAGAACTTGCTTGGGCTGCCATCCACGGACCAATATCCATACCGACCACCTCACTCGGCTCTCGCTGCATGGAGATGCTGAATTAATAACTCGCGGCAGGCATCACGGGTCGACACAGGCGCTCTGGACAGCGACAGCGTCTCGCCGCACCTTACGACCGCACCAACTATCCTGAGCCTGCCACTGCCACTGCCGCGGTGCTGGCCATGCAATGAGCGGAACGACAGTCATGGCCCCGGCCGTGGACATCTCCTCCTTCTCTCGATCGTCCCATTCCACCCCCGACCTCCCGTCTCTCCCACCGCGATCACAGTCGCCCTCCCTGGGGCAGCCTCTCCTGTCCGAGCAGGCGGGCTCGCACACCAAGAGCTTGGCCGAGTTCGCGACCTTTGAGATCCCCTCCTTCAGCACCGATCTCGACCTCAAGCTCGACATCTCTCTCCCTCCTCTCACCCTCGACAGCCAGCCGCCCCCTTCCATCCCCGCCGAAAATGACGACCCAAAACCCCCTTCTTCACCAACAACCCTGCAGCATCTGCGCACCAGGTCTGCAGCTTCCAACATCGACGGGTCTCGCTCGTGGCTGCGTAGCTTAGCGACGATTCGAGATGCGCCGTTCGAGGATGACTTCCAGGCGACAGCAGCAACAGGAGCAGCAGCAGCAGCTCCTTTATCCAGCGAGCAGAGGCGGCCCGCCACAGCAAACGAGTTCCCCGTCGCCCTCGAGGACGCAGATGGCCGAGCTGCCCGGGACCGCTCGCAGTCGACTTCGACATCGACCTCGACAGCCGCCAGCTTCACCAGCTTCAAGAGGTCGTGGATGCCGCTGTCGCGCGCGCATGCAAAGACCCAATCAGAGGCGCCGGCGGCTGCCAACGTGAAGCCGGAAGCGAAATCGAGCCTCGACAAGCTGAAACGGGCTGCGACGGCCAGCATCACGGAAATTACGACCAATCAGACGAGCCAGGGCCGCTTAGTCGACGCGAGTGCCAAGCCGGCGACAAAGGGATTCGCTCGTGCCACCAGCTACTTCGCCAGAATCAAGCAGAAGCCCGCGACCGCCTTGTCCAAGTCAACAGGCGACAGCATCGGCTCCGACTTTAGCTGCGCCTCGTCTGCCACCAGCCTGGCCCAGCCGGGCTCCAGCAGCATCGACACGCATGTCTCGCAGTCGGCCTCTTCCGCCGAGACAAACTCCACGGCCCTGACCGCTGATGAGTCGGCCAGCGAAATGCCCGCGCGCATCCCCGATCCGCTGTGGTCGCACTTCAAGAACCTCGACCTGGAGATCCGCGGCTTCGCCTCCAAGCCCGTCGCCCAGCAGTGCGCCCTGGTCAAGACGCTGCTTCTGCCCTTTCTCAAGAGCGCCACCAGCCAGCAGCCGCTTGCCGGGCTGCGCCCCGAGGATGTCGACTGCAGGGCCTCCGTGCTCCACAGGTGGTGGAGCGCCGTGCTCGACATGCTCGAGGTGCAGCACCAGCAGCCGGTCCCGGGCCTCGACCGCCAACTGCTCTTCGAGACGGCCACCACCGTCATGATGCGCATGGAGTGGCGCCAGACGACGCCGTGCTTTGTGCCCCTGGCGGACCGCTCCCCTCAGGACCGCGTGCGCGCGAGGTCCTCCACCAACTCGTCCTCCAACTCGTCGCAGACCTCGGACCAGTCCGCCATGCTGGCAGAGTCGGCAGAGCACAACATCAGGACCATGTTCGTGTCCAACCTGGTGAGGCAGATGGCCTTTGTCGTCGAGAAGATGTCGCTGCGCCACGTGCCCCCGAGCTTGATCGACTTCGCCGGCAAGACGTGCGCGTACGCCTTCTTCTTTGCGCCTGGGGTGGCTGATATACTAGTGCGACTGTGGGGGTTGACGCCCGACCTGATCCGCCGTGTCTCCGAGAGCATGGGCCTTGGCCGCAGCTGCAACGAACCCGTCGACGAAGAAATCGTAGCCTCCTTCCCGCCGAAGCTGAGCTCTCTGGCCTGGTCCTCGCCTCGAACGCTGTGGGCTACGCTGAAGCGCATCCCCAAGATGCCGCTTCTTGTGGCGAGGGTGCCGTGGACGGGGCCGTGGGTTATGCGCTGGAAGGGACGCGACACCGACCTCCTCTTCATCTTCTGCCGATACTTCCACCTCCTATCAGACCAGTTCATGCCGGAAGGTCTTTCGTTAACGGAAAAGGCACAGTCGCCAGCCTTTGTGCTTGTTCACGCACAGCTCTTGTCGATTCTCGACGGCACCATCCACCGTCAGGCCGCCCTTGAGCCTCCTCACGGATCGCTCCTGGCCAACTCACCGCGAGGAGCAGAAGCAGCAGCCCTGCAGATGCCCATGCCGCCAAACAACCTGATGAAGAGCATGGCGGAGAATAGACTGGTAGTGTTGCTTAGGGACATTCTAGCGGACAGGACACTTGAATATGCGGGGGCGAGACACACGTTCGCCGAGGCCTTTTCTGCGCTCTTGAAAGCCGCCACGAGCAGGACGTCACGATACAACAGCACCGCGTGCTCCATGCTATGTGACCTGTTGGAGGAGGTCTTGCTCATCTACCACCGGGCCGAGACCGACGAGTACCCAACGTGCTACATCGACTGGCCATTCTGGATTGACGTGTGCAAGATTGCGTTGTCCTCGCTCAACACGCTGTCCGAGATTCGCATGATTTCCTTCATCTTTACAGTGTGGGATGCCATTGCCAAGGATCCTGAACAGAAGCTGCTGGTGTGTCGCGATTGGCTGCTAACGGAAGAGACCTTCAACGCGTTCTTCAACAACTGGTGTCCAATGGTGCGCGCGTACTACATGCGTCTGCTCTGCTGGCGAATCTGTCGCGACAAGGGCAGCCAGAACGACATTGACATGTAAGTGGGATCAACGAGCCGGCCTGGTGCAGAGGCGATGAACTAACCGCTACGCCGTAGGGAAATCTTTGCACTGGCGTCCAAGAGGCTCAAGAGCGTTTGGTCACACTACCTTTACCTGAAGCAAGCTGCCGAAGATGCTTGCCGGATACCTCCTGCCACAGCACCAATGTCGCCGACCTTGGGAAAACGATTCATCATCATCAAGCACGAAGTTGCTGTGCCTCAGCCGGGCCTGTTCGTGACGTTTGATACGTTTACCAAGGCGTCGAGCATCGTCACGCCCGCAAACGAGGTAACCTCCGACACAGCTCTCGTGACCAAGAATGACCCAAAGAGAAAGTGGTCATTTCTCAAGCTATTGTCCTTTGGTTCAACGGCTTCTACCACCTCGACAACGTCGGAGGCGTCGCAAAGCAAGCCTTCTACGGACGAGGGACTCCAAAACGCGCGCAGGGAGGTTGCCAACTCTCGGTCACGGCAGCTCACCGCGGCCAACCCACCCAAGACGGCAGGCTCCGACGACAGCGTGGACTCTGATGGCTCCAACCCGGTCTATGAAGAGCCCAAGTTTACCTTCAAGTTTGTCCTGGGCTGGCCGCAGCAGCAGCAGGGACCTACGCTCGACCGCACCCTCGCGTGCCCGAGACTCCCCACGCCAGCCCAATCAAGGCTTGGCTTCAAGGCAAAGCGAGGAGGTGGCCCGACGTTGCCCCCGCTCATGATACCGACGAGAAAATTTTCCGGCAGTTCTCAAGGCGGCCTCGTGCAGGCGGCAAGGAACGCGAATGCAAGCCCTCTTGGTTCGCCAGTCTTGGAGGCTCAGCGACAGCCATTCGCAAACGGCGGGGTGATCCTAGAAGAGCCCTCCACGAGCGGCTCGGAGACCGACAGCGGCATCTCGACACCCAGCGAATTGAAGTTACTCCCTTCTCCCATTGTCCAGCCGACACCGAGTGACGAATGGACCGGCGAAGCCAGAGTAGGGCCCGTCAAACCCGCCGGCGCTTTTCTGAAGAACCTGGTTTACTCGGGACGGGCACTGTCCGAATGGAGTCTTGTGGTGGCGGAGTGCAACAACTTTGTCGAGCGACGCCGCGACGAGGGTGTCACTTCGCTCAACGATGTCGAGGTGCCGCTTCTTGGCGTTGAAGGCTTCCGCAAGATGGCTGGCTGAATTTTTTTTTGACCAAAAAAACATACCTGGTTTACCTATCCTACGACGTTAGTACAAGAGGAGCCTCGTGGCTCTTGGACCTCACCTTTCCCCTTCTTCTTCTATCATTTTCATACACGGATTATCACGAGCGAGCGGCATATATAATGAGCGATTTGCATTCTATATGGCCTTGACTCAGCAGGCGTTGGCGAGACAAACATCTTTTGATAAAGCGTATCTTTCTTTCTGTCTCTTTTTTTTTTTTCTTTTCTTTTCTTTTCTTCTTTCCGCGATTTAGCATGGACCTTTTCCCCTCAATTGCGGGCATACACTGGCACTGGATCAAATGGTCGAACTTCAAGACGATATATGAAAATAAAAAAAGACAAAGATGGCACAGACATTACTTTTCGGCACGCTCTACACTTACCTGCTCCACAGCAGGGGAACAAACACGTTCATTATCATTATACAAAAAGACGTCGAGATATTTTGGGATAAATAGGAGGGTTCATTGCTGGTATATGTTTTCATTTACTGCACCATTTAGCAGTCATTTTGATGCTCTTTACGTTCAAGGCTTGTGGATTCTTCCTCTGCCTTTTGTTTTGTTGATTGCTGTTATCTTCTGGCGGGACCATCGTTGTTTTCATCTCGATGGTTGTATCTTTTGAGCTGAGGAGGAAGATGGGCTGAACGCAGTGCAAGAGGTGGACGAATACCCCGGATTGCTAGAGCTTGAGTTGTTGGCGAGTTTGGAGATTCGCTTCTAATAGTAAAGTAATGAGCAAGACCACTACTCAAGTTGATTGTGTGTGCGAGCGAGTAACAAGGTCACTTCGATGCCAGAAGAGACGACAAGGACAGGGCGAGACATGTGTCAGGATAGTAGTAAAGATGTTTCTCAGGGTTCATCGGGTGGGGCTCAATTGTGTTGGATGCCAGCCATTCAGATGCGAGGGGATGGCCTAATTAGGAAACTGGGGCTGGAGCAGCGAAAGGGGCAAGGCATTTGTGTAAGGTTGCTCTTTTGTGAGAAGGTGAGGTTGCTGGGGGGGCGTGCTTTTTCTCGTATGGCTGGATGGGCTTGAGGCTTGTTTGTGTGGCTGAATGGGAGGTGCCCGTGAGGTTGGGGGTTTGGATGCTTGGATGAGTGGGTGATGAGATGCTGCGGCTGGAGGGACTTGGTGTATTGCTGGGGTTGGGGAAATGGATCGTATATTTTAGAGACATGCCTTGTTAGATGGACGAGGACAATGGCTGAAGATGCATTTTTATCGAGATCCATGGCACCATATGATTGATATGAGATCCTAAACTTATTCATCCTTCGATCTTGACAGGATGGCGTACCCTTGCATTCATCATCCTTCACAAGAGGCTTGCGCAGCCCCTCACGTGTTCTTCCCCCCGCCGTTCGCGACCCTCCCTGATTGGTCCTCCTGAGTCCCCCCCCGTACGAGTAAGTCGTCATCAGCGGGCCGTCAAAACGCCCACCTCGAATGGCTTTTCCTCATTCTGTCACGACAACTTCGAAAGAGCTTCCCGACGAGGCCTCCCAGGCGACATTGCCTAAATTGCAGCCAGCCGGGCTTCTCGTGTATTTCGTTTTGTTTCGTTGTTGTGTTGTGTTGTGTTGTGTTTGCCTCCCCTTGTTTGACACGCTGGGAGTTCTGCCAGTGATTTGACTGGGACGCGAGAGAGAGAGAGAGAGAGAGAGCCATGCCCAACACAGGCAGACCGAGTCGGGATTGTCACTTGTGCCGCCAGCGGCGAGTCAAGGTCAGTTTTTGAGCTGATGTGATGCGATTCGAAGAGATGAGATGAGAAGAGATGAGATGTACTCTACATCGTCACTCCGCTGCTTGGTACATGCGTGACACACGCGGGCATCTTGATTCTTAGAGGGTGTTTTACGCAGCATCGGAGTGGGTCTATGGCTCTTCTGGAAGAACTATCGATGCGATGCTCTCGTTTGCCTCTGCATATGTATGTATGTGTCTGGGTGTGTGTCTGGGTGGGTGTGTATGTGTGTGTGTGTCACCGAGTGGCCCGTACATACATGCTCTTGGCAGTCCAACAACAGCTCCTTTTCTGCTTGGCCTGTCCTCTCCCCGTCCGTCGGAATTTAGATGGCAACTCCATCTCACAGCTGAGTCCGTTCTGACCCCCGTTTCCCCCTTGCAGTGCGACCTCGCCCGTCCGGCTTGCCAGCGATGCACCAAGTACGGCGCCCAGTGCCCGGGCTATCGGGACCAGCAGGAGCTCGTCTTCCGCAACGCCGATCCCACCGTCGTCAGGAAGCGCAAGAAGCGCCAGCCCTTGTCTCAGACACAATCCCCCGGCGCCAGCGAGACGCCATCTTCGTCCTCTTCTTCTTCATCCTCTTCATCTTCTACCTCTTCAACTTCAACGGCCGACTCCGATCCCCTGCCGGTGCTCAAGCTCACTCGCAACGGAGACTACGTCTTCAACACTCTGACGGACCTCGCCCTGGTCGACGGCATAGACTGCAGCAGCGCGCCGCCGACGCTCGCTCGGCCGATATTCGAGCACTGGACGGTCCACTCGGTGCCCATTGTCCTCAATGTCTACTCCAACCTGGACTTTGTCAAGAACATGTACCGCGAGTTTGCGGGCGACGGGCCGCTCGTCTGGGCCGCCCATCTCTTTGCACGCACATACGTGACGAACCTGCAGTATCCGACGTCGCTGTATAGGGACGCTCACTTGGAGACGCAGCGCGAGCTGAGCACGTACTTGGGCAAGACGCTGAGCTTGGTGAGCGAGGCGCTCAAGACGCCCGAGGGCCCTCTGCGAGATGATATCCTCGCCACCGTGTGGATTCTTACCAACTACGAGGTGAATAAGCAATCAAGTCCATGCAGAGAGCAGGGTGTATCATGTCAAATGCTTACAGGAAGTAGTTGCTCGTTGGATCCCTGTCTCGCACCGAGACCCTCAGCCCATGGCATTTACATGCCCGAGGTCTGTACAGCATCCTCAAAGCAAGGGGCACCGCATGGCTATATACAAGCCATGGCCGCATGGCTTTTTGGCCAGCCTTTAGCATGGTGGTATGTATCACCAATCCGTTGATGAAGAATTTCTGTCGCATTGCTGACTCGGCTTCGGGCACAGCAAATCCAGGCGCTGGTCAGTAATACAGAGTGTCCCCCGGAATCCGAGGAATGGCTCAGCGCGGTAAAGGCCTCGCTGCCAGGGAACCCAGGTGAGGGCCTGGGGATTGCCATTTCATCATTCATCATCAAGGTGTGCAGCGTGCAAGCTCGTATCTTCAGTCTTTTGCGACGGCGCGATTTCCCTGCCGCTTCCAGAGAGTATTGCGATCTGTTTGGTCAGATCAAGGCCGGCGAAAGGGAATTTGAGGACTGGCTAGCACTGAATCCCATCGGGGATCACGTCCTGCAGATATACGCACTGAGCCTGTACCAGTCCGCCATCGTCAAGGGGTACCGCGGCATACAGCTCCTCATCAATTTCCTCACCCACTACCCGCCGTGCCAGGTGCCCCTCGAGCAGCTCAGGGAGGATCGCGAGTACACCTGCCGGACGGCGCAGGACGCGGCGCAGCGCATCTTGGACGGCGTGCCTCGCGTGCTCGGGCCGCTGTCCAGTCGCAAGGACAAGTCGCCCAAGGACGTGTTCGATGCGCTGAGGGTCATCTGGCCGCTGATTGCCGTGTACGTGATGGGCATCTGCCGGCCGGAGCAGCGGCTCGCCGCGGAGGGCCTCCTGTTTTACATTGGAAGGGAGTTGGGCGTGCGACAGGCGCTGCATACGTATCCGGAGCAATTGAAGCTGCCGGAGGAGGCGACGGAGCCGCTGGGAGTGTGATTGTTTGTGAGTTGGGGTTATAGGCTTTTGTCTGAGAGCAGGTTGATGCAAGGGCTGTTGTCTTTGTGACGATGACGAGGACAACCATGGTGTGTTGGATGCTTTTATTCTTTGTCCTTTGCAGTTGACCTGATACCAAGAATGCAATTTGAGAGGAGTAGATTTACAGGCTTGAATGCGGTTGACATGAAGAAGATACGAGTGGGCTTGTAGTGAAGTGTACACGGCCTCGTCGCCCGCCCCGAAGCATGCTGCGGACCTCCAATCTGAGTTACTGGGATAGGATGGCTCCTTGGGTGCTGTATAAGTATTAAATGTGTATTGAAAAGTTGCTATAGGAACAGCACACATTGCCTCGTAAGTTTGTCCCGCCGAGGAGGGTTGTCAAAAACGTCGTATAAACATAAGGAAATCCAACCGAAAGAATCCAAAGTCACGCCATCATATCAACCATCATCACACCAAAATCATTCCTCCCCCAACGAACAAAACTCTACAGCGGCGTCTCAGAATGCGCAACAAGCAGCCACTCCCCGTCGGCGCCCTGATTCCACGTCGACGACGCGGTGGCGCGGTACTTCTCCTTGCCCCTGGAGGCCTTGATCTTGTAGGTGACGACGCCGCCCATGAGGCCGATGAAGTGGGCGCGCATGTCCTCGACCTGGTAGTCGTCGAAGCGGTGGAAGGGCGGCTGCATGGCGTCGTGGAAGGCCTCTTGGTCCTCGGGCGAGATGATGTCCATGTTGGGGAACATGAGGGCAGCGTCTGGGGCGCAGAGCTTGAGGACGGCGGGGGCAGGGTTGGCGGAGGTGAGGGCCGTGCAGAGGTCGTTTTCCTTGCCGAGGAGGTCGTCGCGGAGCCAGTCGTTCATTGCGGGCATGTTGGGCGGTTTTTTTTTTGGGGTTGTCTGTCTGTTTGGTTGGTTTGGGTTTGTTGGTTGGCTGGGTTGAGGTTCTGTGTTAGTTGGTGATGATGGTGAGGGTGAGGATCGTCGTATATTGGGGACGAAACGCACTTGTCAGATGATGGAGATGCAAATTTTACGGATGAGCGATGAGTTGATATTCAGGAACTGACACTGGAACTGCACAGACAGAGGGTAAAAAGAGAGAGCAAAGAAAAGAAGCCATCGCGAGACTGGAATCCATCCTCATAACCAATACCCAAAGGATCAAGCAAAGACGCCAGCTCATGACGTCACGCCCGCCGACTCCCAGAAAATGACGTTGAGCCTTTCATCTATTTAAAACAGCTGCTGCAGTAGTAACTACTGTACATGGATACGGAGTAGAGTACTGTATGCCATCGACGATGCGCTACTGCAAGTAGGAAAGAAAGGCCACTGGGAACAGCGGCATTCATGCAAAGCTGATGTTACTATACTAGCACACTTGTTGTCGACAGGGGTGACATGTCCTTGGTTTTGGGCATAGAAACGACTGACCAATTGTTGCTTGTGGCTTTATATGAAAGAGGCTTGACCACCAGAAAAAACCTGGAAATATTGGTGGCTTGAAAGCGACCAAGTTTCGTTCAACGGTGCTCCACAAAGCTCATGACAGGCTGTGGGCGTCATTCGGCGATCAGTTGCCGGTTTTAGTTTTGGAGGGCTGACGCGTGGCGATGAAGGCCTCTTTTATTATTATGTGCATTGCCAAGATTGCATTGTTTGGCGGGAATACACAGTTGATGGAGATGGATTATTCTAGTTGAGAATCTACAGTGTAGCACTTTGTTACAGCAACAACAAAAAGGGCGTCTCACATCCTACGCAGCATATTCTCGTAAATCCTCAACACAGAGCTGTATGTATCGGGTCCATGGTCTACTAACAAGCTCTAGCTCCTGGCTTACTCTATTCGACAAAGGACAAAACCCATCATGAGCATCTTTGGGATTGTAAAAAAAAGGAATTAAAATTCATTTGAGCTCAGAGCTACCATGTCATCTTTCTGAGGTTAGCTGATACTGCGTGAACATTACTAGAGGCTGACATTCCATTGGCAATGACATTTGTTCTTGCCCTTCGTCGTCCAATTACGGTGGTTCATTGCGGCGCTTACATGTACCAGACAGGCTCGAGTGGTTTCTGAGGAGCAGTGCCATTCCTCGACCATCTACAACTCAAGAATGTCCTGGGTTTATATAGTCGAGACTCCCTCTTCAGTATGTCTTCTATCATTCATGACGTGAATAGGAGTGGCGCGCATGAGCTTCTTACTGGGATGATGCCCTTCATCCTGCTCAATGTGCGAGCCTACCTACTCGCTGGAAGTCAACTTGAGGGCGGAGTCGCTCTGAGTCCCAAGAACATGAATCCCATAAATGCTTGGTAGGAACTTCAGATGGCAAGTCAATACTTCGAGATTTCTCACTGACCTTGACCTTTTGGCCAGGTTCTTTCTTCTCCCACTCGAAATGTCCTTGCATGGCGGTGCTGACGTAGGTTGGTGGTTAATGTCAAGTCCCCTCCTTGTACATGTCAGAAGCGCATTCCTTAACCTAACTTGAATTGGACTGCTTCCTGATGATTTCAAGCTTGTTTGAACCACCTGTTCCTTTCTTCAAGCAACGATTGCTGACGGCGGTTTTGTGCTGAGGAGGGATTACAATCACGTCCAAACCTCATATAACCCCGCCAAGGCTCAATCGCTGCAAGCCAGCGTTCTGTGAGCTGTCCTATCACCGCTTATACTCTTTGCCGTTTATCGCCGCATGATGCGCATGAGCTTCAGAAGGCATGCATGCCCTTTGGATTAATGGATTGCATTGGTTGCCAAGTGAACCACGGCCAGTAACCGACTATATATATCAGTCAAAAGAGAATCCTACCGCATTTGGTAATTTCATCTGTCACTGCGAGCCTCAGCACGATGTGGTTTCATATCGAAGCCTATGCCAACTTAGACAGCCAAAGCCCTGCCTGCTAATCTGTGACCGGTTTCTCGCAGTTTCCGAGTCTGCTTGCTGTATGTCAGATTTTCTGCTCCGCGAAAAAAAAAAAAAAAAAAAGAAAGCAAAAAATGAAGCGCTTGGATGGCACTAGAGCTTTGCTCCCGGCAGGGCTTGAACCTGCGACCTTCGCATTACCAACACTGAGCTTGGAAGCTTAAGTATTAGTACGAAGCTCTAACCAACTGAGCTACGGAAGCCACCTCGCTTCGAGTTGTTGAATCGTGGACTTGTTACAAACTATACCACTTAACAGCACAGCTCCTTGCCATTTGGAACATATAAATGGGCGGTTCTTCGATGATGACCTCCCTTTTCAATGAGCAACCATTGGGTGCAAGCGAAATGATATTGTATCTTTTTGTTTTCCTTTCACATGGGGATATCTCGCAGCCAATGCTTACTATAAGAACAACACTGCATCAGCACCATAAAGACTCGACGCAAATTGTCATACTCAACGTCTTCACGTACATGGGCTCGATCTGTCCTTTCTTCAACTACAGATGGATCCTGAGAGTCAAGTTTTCAGGGCGTATGGAGACACAACATGGAAGCGCAGAGACTAAATTGAAACTTTTACAGATAGTACTGCCTTCGGAGAATTATCGATTAGACAGCGGCAGCTAGATGACTTCTAGATAACAGCTAACTGAACTCTGTTTCAGCTCGGCGTCTAGATGCAGAAGAGCTGCATCAGTTATGGACGGCCATAAGGAGAGGGGATGGAGAATGGCATGGTAAAGATTATATAATCTCTAGTCAGTCTGAGGATCCTAATGAGATTGTTACCAGCCTAATCAGACTCTATCTCACGATCGCACTGACAACCAAACCCTTATCAACTCCTGTAGCTATTGATGTATCTGGAAGAGTATACGACGTAGCACAGAACAGGTTGTAATGGCGAAAAAAACAGGGGACAGTTGAGTAAATATCTTGAGTCTGATTAGAATACTTTCAGCATTTTCACAGCTGAAATCCGCTCCGCTCTGCTGTTCATCCTGGGCGAAAGCTGAGAAAGCGTGAAATGCTCTTGCACGAGGGCGGGCGGGATGAGCTGGACATATTGTGTGCCGGGCTGACCGAAAAGCATCCGCGTTGCATACTAAACTACCGTAGAACTATGCAAACAGGCCTGAGGTAGTATGTATCGGATTTTCATCTCATAGCGGCAGCCACAATTTCGGGCCATCGGCTGCTCTTGTATAGTCATTCAAGCTACCTAGTATGGAGACATTAGACTTCAAGCCCCTTTTGAGACGGCACTCAGCTCATGAGCATGATCAAGACTATAGGCGTTTGGTTTTGATACACTACACAGCGCTTTACACTATGCGGGAGTCTTCGAATATATTCAGACTCGGGTGCGAATTAACAGGCAGTTGCAAGCTTCTATATACAGTGCCCTCGGACGGTCTTTGCCTACCTAGGTACGGAGCTAGATCAGCCGTAGCGGCTTAGATCTCCCGACAGACATGGCTTATTTACCTATGTCAAGTTCTTCCTGAGTGTTTGTTGAATAGTCCGAAACCCTCGACATCCGAAACTACACATTTGATACTAGACCGCATGCCAGCAGAATCAGCTGTTGCTGGCCAAACGTCTTCATTGGATAGCAATCGATTCTTCGACCAAGATATGCGCATTGGCACAATTCTACAAAGGGCATTGGCTCTTTCATGCGGGTAAGGCTGGAAGCAATAACCTCTGACGAAAGGATGAAATTGAGAAGATGGGCGGAAGTGTCGGACAATCCTAAACTCCTCCATTCCAAACCAAGACGCATTTTCGCAAATAGTTGGCCTTGGTTCAGTGCAACTGAGATGACTAAATACAGCTGCACCTCAAGTATAAATGTAATGAAATGGAAGCAGTATGAACACAGCAGGAGCTGAACTTCGAGTATTGCAATTTGGTATTGCTCTACAACTAGGACTCTGAGCACATCATACACCAAGTGCAGGCCATCATGGCTCAATCAATTCAGTACCTGCTTCTCCTCTTAGGAGCCTTTGCAACACTCATACAGGCGTCACCACAAGCAAAGCCACCGCTCCCTTACTGCGACATGAAGCAGATCCACACCATGAACGTTGCCAACTGCCGCTGCCGGCCTCATTACAAGGGTTGCTTCACGGCGGCCAGGACCTGCCACATGGACATTCCAAACAGACACACCAACAGTTACTACCCCGGGTGCACCGACAACGACAAGCTCTGCCTCGGATGCGGGCTCTGGTTCCATACGCTGTGCGACTGCGTCAAGGGCCCATCCGGCTGCACTCACCAGGGAACGGTGCAGCCGAACGGCGATCAGGTGTGGTTCCTGACGCCCGTGGGCGAGAAGCTCGTCACCACGACGGACATTCTCCCCGGCATCCTGGAGATGGCCGACAACCCGGCAAAGTACGGGGAATCGTGGAACTTTGCGCAGAAGTACTACGATCCCGGCAGCGAGGCGCTGGCGCTCAACTCGGTCCGCGCGAGGACGCACGAGCAGTTCCACATCCACGTCTGCAAGAAGCCCGACGTCAAGAAGGACGCCAAGGTCCTCAAGATTCTCGACACGGCCAAGCACAACACGGGGCCGACGCTGGAGCAGGTCGGGAACAATGACCTCTGGTGCAGGACGGTGACAAAGGGCAACGGTCCCGTTCGGCACTTTGCGGAGGCCATCCAGGCGTTTCTGGCGACGGGGCAGCTTTGCAAGGGGCTTGCTGGGGCGGCGATTATACGGGATGCGCATGAGAATTTGTGGGCGTGTGTGACTGGGGACCAGCATGGGCCGTTGGCTCAATTCTGTGCTGGCAAGTAGAACGTGATGATTGGATTGGAAAAGCCTGAGAGATGTGTTTCAACATGGAAATCTATGGCTCTTGTTGAGAGAGCATGTTGTGGAATATGACTGGGGGACCACTGTCTTGGGAAACATTCCCTTCACTTTGTATAACTTGACTCCCGAGAACAGAATAACAATCCTTCCTGTACGGGTTCAAAGCAAGCACATCAAGCACCCGTCGATTGTGGCCAATATGTGGCAGGCCCTTTTCCAGACTCGTGCGTGTAGATGGTTGGTTGTGCTTGTATGCAAGCCATGCAATGCATGTGAAACTGACCCCAAGATCATACAACTTGCAACCCCCGCACCAGTCTCAGCCGAGATCCTGGACTCGAGAAAATCCCTAGATTCCCCAGATTCTGAAATTCTATCTCCACTCATTGCCTCTTTCTTCCTCTCATTGCAAGGCTCGATTTTAGACTTTGCTTTGTTCGTGTTATAATGGGGATTCTTCGCAAAGGCGCCATGCCCCGCTTCGACTAGCCTCCCGGACTTTGACTCCGGCCCCGCGTCTCTCCTCTTTGCTATCTCCCCGGCTTCGTATCAGTAGTATCAAGTTAGGTCTTACACGTCGTTTGTTGATGAATGCTAATACAATTCGGGTCTGAATCAACAAAACACCGTGATAAGGTTTGAGAAAAGTTGCTGAAATGTTGGTGCATCTCATTCCCTTATGTGTCGACCGCCGGCTTCGCTTCAGGCTTGGAAACCGCCCAGAAGCATCGCCTTACCTCGGCTCAGCCACTCTTCCATCAGCTTACATGTCCCGTCGGGAGGATACGCGTAGCTGAGCGTGTGTCTCGTGTCTCGTGTCTCGTGTCTCGTCGTTGAGAAAGGAGTGCTCACTGAAAGCATCAAGGACCAACAGAATATGGCTGCAAACATGACCTCTGGCGGCAAAAGCAACGGCATCTCGCGGCGTGATGAGCTGGAGCTCATCCGCAAGTACGTCTACGGATGCCACATCCTGCACCGCTACAACGTCGTCGACGCATATGGCCACTTGTCCGTGCGCCTGAGCCCGACAGTCTTCATGATGGCGCGGTACATGGCGCCGGCACTGGTATCGTCGACGGAGGACATGGTGCTGTACAACGTCGAGAGCGGCGAGGCCCTGCAGAAAGACGCACCCAAAGGTCGGTTCCTCATTCTGTGCCAATCCGGTTCCATGATATTCACTGACTGGGTACCCGCCACAGGCTTCTCTGAGCGTTTCATCCACTCGGAGATCTACAAGGCATATCCCCATGTCCAGGCAGTGGTGCACTCGCACTCACTCGAGGTCATTCCCTTTTCGATATCGTCGATACCCCTGCGGGCATGCTTCCACATGGCCGGCTTCCTAGGCACCGCCGTCCCCGTCTTCGACGCAGCAACGGTGTACCGCGACAACCCATCAGTCTCAGCAAGCCACGACATGCTCGTCCGAAGCACCGAAATGGGCGCAGCGCTGGCCAAGACGCTGGGACCGGCTGACGGCGAGGGACTGCCCAGGTGTCCGGTTGCGCTGATGCGGGGGCACGGCTTCGTGGCGACGGCGGACAGCATCGAGATGGCGATTTGCAAGAGCATCTACACGATACAGAACGCGCAGGTACAGAGGGCGGCGATTGGGCTGTCGGAGGAGGTGCGCTTCTTCAGCGAGCGGGAGGCTCACGACGCGGGCAAGACGGCCATGGCAGGGGCCGCGAAGCCGTGGCCGCTGTGGGTGGCCGAGGTGAAGAGCAACAGGCTGTACAAGAACTCGGTGTGAGACTGGCTGGGAGCGTGGTATCGATAGTTGAGCCTGATGTCGTGGCATAAAGCGCTCAAACAGCACATGCAATGACGTTGTACTGCATCTTGAACTGCGTCTTGAAGCTGCGTGCATGTGCATGAATGGATCAAATGCATCTCTGCAGGCGTAATTCCTGGCTGGTCGCCTCGACTGGCTAAAGCCGATCTCGCTTCTAGTAAGGTAGCACTACAACAACTGGACCAGACGCTATATTCTGCCCTGTAGCGCGCTGTCCAGCAGCATTCGATGGATGGCTGCCCGCTAATCTGCCCGCTGAAGAGGCCCGCTAGCGCTGCACGGAAGCACCAACAGCTCCCCCGCACCGCCTGTCTTTAGCGCGGCCTGGGGAATTAGTATCTACCTACCTACCTTAGGTCGCCCCCGTCAGCGTCCAGGCGTCTTCCAATACCATTTATAACCCTCGACTCCGTACTCCGATCGAGAAGCTCCCCGGATCTCCTGTCCGCTCACCTCACCCTCTTTCCTCCTCTTGCCCTGCCCAGATAATCCTGCACAGTGGAGAGCCTCGCGCCTTCCCTGCTGACCTGCATGGCTGGATCGCCTGCTGCTGCCTTTTCCGCGCCGTCCGTCGAGGCCGGGAGAGGCGGCCATCATCACGTGCTGCCGCCGTATCAGTCCCAGCCACAGCCTCTACCTCGACCTCTCTCTCAGTCTCAACATCAGCCACAGTCTCAACCTCCGAAATCACAGCCACATCCAGAGCTCAGCGTAACCTCGCTATCATCAACCTCATCATCTCCCAACCAGCCAAAGCAGAAGGACCACCACCGCCACCAGCAGCAGCAGCAGCAGCAGCAGCAGCAGCCTCCGACTAAGCGACGCCGCATCGGATATGCCTGCAACCTCTGCCGCACGAAAAAGAACCGCTGCGATGGCGAGCGGCCGTCTTGCGGGCCCTGCAAGGAGCGGCGCCAGGAGTGCGTCTACAGCCCTCAGCGCACCAAGATCTCTGTGACGCAAGAGTATGTCTGTGTGTCGATTGTTATTTACTACTCGCTACTTCGACTCGTTCATTCGTCTCCAATCTTCGTAACAAAGCGCAAGAGTCAATGGCCACTACTCTGCTGTCTCTTACCGTGACCTCTTTCTTACTCTTCTCAGGTATATTGAGAATCTGCGAGCGCGGAACCGTATGCTCGAGGAGCATCTGGCTACTCAGCAATCTCAAGGCTCTCACTCACCGTAAGTCTGAACCATTCTCAGGTGGATTGGTCAAGCCTAACGCAGACTGTACAGCCTTGAAAGTACATACTCGAAAGAGTCACCCTATACTGCCCGTCTATCCCTAGACCAGCATTCGGGTGATGGTGCAAGGCAACAGCAATACCCAAACCCTTCTTCATCTACTTCTACGGCAGAAGCCCCGTCGGGCCAACGTCATCAGCAATATGCAAGGGCAGCATCTTTCAGCGACCGCTCAACGGCAGCAGTGTATCGACCCCATCAGTCTGACAGCAACCGGCACGGCGATCAACCAAGGAGTAGTCATTCCTCTTTGCCCGGGGAGTACTTTGGAGAGTCGTCAGCCTTCGACTTCATCACGAAAGTGACGTCGCCAAACACCACAGATGTTGCAACGGGCAGTTCGGCAGCCACTGCAACTCCGGCAACTGGTGCCAGCAGTGGTGGTACCGCAAATACCAGCACAACAGCAACGACAGGCAAGTCAGGAGCGGCCACGACTGCTAAAAGAGGCATTGCCGATGCGTCTGGGATCGGCGGTGGCTTGAATTCCGAATCACTGGCAGAGTCTTCCCCGTCGACTGTCGTATTTGAAGAGCTCCTGGGTATCGGCGGAGGGATAGGGGACAGGCACGGGAGCAGTGACTTGTTTGAACTGCCTCAGCGGTCCCTAGCCGACCGCTTGGTGGCGTCGTACTTCAAACACAGGCACCCTCTGAATCCGTACATACACGAGGGCACATTTCGCCAGCGTTATGCGCGGCTGTGGCTCAGCAAAGATGTGGGCGGCGAGGAGGCGGCCCCCAACAACCTGGCCTGGCTGGCGGTCGTCAACATGGTGTTTGCGTTTGGCAGCGAGCACGTGCAGGTTCGGCCTCCTTATAACGGGAGCCCAGCTGGCTCGGCATCAGCAAAGCCGGACCGCGCTCGCTTCTTCAAACGGGCCAAGGTGCTGGCATTCTCGAGCATATTGCAGGCCAGGATCGAGCTCGTCCAGGCGTTGCTGCTGATGAGCCACTATCTGCACGGCTCGCTGGAGCTCAATCATTGCTGGACCGTCATCGGGCTGGCCATTCGTACAGCGCAGGAGCTGGGGCTCTATCTCGCCCCTGCCAACTTCACAGAGGACATCATCGAGCAGGAGATTCGCAAGCGTGTGTGGTGGGGTTGCTTCGTGATCGACCGTCTCGTCAGCATCAAGGTCGGACGGCCCCCTACGATCCACGACATGCCTGCCATTCGTGTTGGGCTCCCTCTTGCGGTGGACGATGAGTTTCTCGACGAAGCGTCCAATTACACTCAGCCGAGCCATGTCCCGTCCAAGATTGAATTCTTCAACCACATTGTGACACAATGCCGCTTGCTCGCCAAAGTGCTCGACACGCTGTATGACAACACGCCCAGTAGCAGCGGCAGCATGGGAGGCAGCAGTAGCTCGTCATCGGCAAGCCGCGAGACTAGGGTTCGCATCAAGGTCGACTTGCCGGAACTTTTGGCCATGTCGATTCAACTCGACGGCGAACTCGTCGTTTGGCAGAGCCTGCTGCCTCCCCATTTGCGTGCAGACTCGGATGTACCAGAATGGCACTTTGAGCGGCAGCGAAGCGTCTTGCTCATGCGGTATGTCATGGCTTGTTGTCTGGCTGAGGTTTCTGTTGGCTGACTTGTCGATGTTACCCTAGTTTTCTTCATATTCGACTCCTTATCCACCGCCAAACATTGCTCTACCACATTCTCCGTCGCATCTCCGATCCCTTTCAGCTGGATCTGGCGCATCTGTGTATCCGCCGCTGTGTCATGGCAGCATATGATGCCATCACCCAGGTGCATCTCTTGCAGCAACACAACCTGCTGTCTTCCTCGTGGCACAACTCACACTGTATGTATGTCCCCTCCCTTGAAGCCAGATTCACATGCTTACCATGTTTGATGCGGCATAGACGTCTTCACAGCCTTGAGCGTCCTAGTCGTCTACAAGCATCTGGACCCTCACTCGCGCGCAAAGATTGACATACCGCCCTCCTCGGATATCGATCGCGTCATTGGCCAAGGCCTTGAGCACCTGCAGCGTGTTGGCGGCGAAATGCATCCCCTTGCTTCGCGTTATGTCCGCTCCTTTCAGCAGCTGCAAGCACGGCTGCAGGCAATCGGAACGCTCTCCGCGAATGCACCACCGCTTGCCGTACGCGGTAAGCAGCCCCTGTCAGCCAAGGAGGATGGTGCGCCAGGATACGATGCAGCGCGTATGGCGAGCTCTACCACGGATTCCGATCAGAGCAGCAGCAATGTGGATGCAGCTTCAAACGGAAGCACCGGCAAAGGATCCGTAGCCATGACGGAGCAGGGCCAGGAACATGGCGGAGTGTATTACGGCGTGGAGGGATACCAAGAGCAGACGGTTGAGTATGGAGACAATGGCTTCATGTGGGCTGGATTTGACGACGAGTTTGCCGTGATTCAGAGCGCCTTGCTGGATAGTAGCGGATGGGGGCCTGGGTTTCTGGACCCCTGGGCGCAGGGATGAATGTGTTGTTTGAGCTGGATGCTGAATATCTTACATTGGCTATGGTGACTTGGGCGACCAGAGAGATGTGAGATGCTCTCCGGATTGATGTGGCAGTCTTTGTCACTGCTGGTTGGGTCTCATGGAAATGTCATGTAAGTTGTGTGTTCTTATATCCTGCTCTATGTACAATGCCATTACCATATGATACCGGTCGACAGCAGAACATACCCAAAAGAGATCATTTACAAACAACTGCATACGCCAAACCAACCTCCAGAAGGCCCCCCTTCCCCTTCTCGCTCTCAAATCCCAAGCCGAGTCCTCGTCGCGTTGAAATCCGCCTCCAGATCATGCCCCCATACCCACGTCATGCGGTCCTTGAACTTGTCGTGGATAACCTGCAGACGCTGCTCAAAGACGAGGCCGGCAAACTCGGGCCCCTGCATCTCGTAGACGTCGCCGGCCTGGCGGGAGGTCAGCTGCGCCTTTTGGGCGCGGGGGAGGCGCGTCTCCTGGTAGAGCTTCATGTACGTCTCGAGGCCGAGGGATGGGTTTTCGAAGAAGGCCTTGACGGCCTGGCCCATGACGAAGGAGTCTTCGATGGCGTGGCCGGCGCCGGAGCCTGTGAGCAATGACGTGTATTAGCTTTCGACCACATATATTCGACTACCTGGATGGTAGAAGGTTAGGTTTTCCCTGCTTACCCTGGTGAGGAAGCATGGCATGAGCAGCATCGCCGCTCAGCACGACCCTGCCGCCCAAATACACCCACTGATCCAGCAGCTCGCGGTCATTGAGCTTCCACTTGCCCGGGCTAGGCTCCATGGCGCGCACGATCCTCTGCACGGTGTCCTCCCAGCCGGCGAACTCGGCCTCGACCTCTGCGCGCGGGGCGGTGCTGGACCAGCTCTCGCGGAGGTCTCCCAGCTGGTCCTCGGGCTTGGTGACGAAGGCGACGACGTTGAGCGTCTTGTTGCGCGAGATGGGAAACACGAGGAAGTGCCGGTCCGGGCCGAGCCAGGAGACGGCATAGGAGTCGTACGGCCAGTCGCGCTCGACGGCCGACAGCGGGAGGAGGCCGCGGTAGCAGACGCGGCCCGAGTAGCGCGGGTGTAGGTCGGACGGGTCCTTGCTGTTGAACTGGCGGCGGACGGCGGAGTGGATGCCGTCGCAGGCGATGACGAGGTCTGCCGAGGCGCTGGAGCCGTCGGCGAAGCGGATTGTCGTTGTCTTGCCGTGCTTTGAATCATCATCGTCGTCGGTAGCAATGATCTCGACGGCCCGCTTGTTCGTCTCGAGGCGAGCGTCAGAGGTGGCGCGCAGGTGGTCGTACAGGACCTGCAAAAACTCGGCCCGGTGGACGCTCAGCTGGCGCACGCCGTCGCTCGAGTCGTCGTCGTCCATGGCGCCGACGGAGACGATTTCCTCGCCATTGTCCCACCGGCGGAGGCTCCTGTGGATGCCGTTGCGGTCGCCCGAGATTGCGTTGGCGGCGGCGTAGACGCCGTAGCGCTTGAGGATGCGGCTGGCGTTGACGCCGATGCCGATGCCGGCGCCGATTTCCTTGTACGCGGGGGCCTGCTCGTAGACGGTGATGTTCTTGGAGAGAGCTGGGATCTGCGTGCTGAGGGAGAGGGCCATGGAGAGGCCGCCGATGCCGCCGCCGACGATGGCGATGGTGAAGGTCTCTGGGGAGGGGGTCGGTTTGCTGACTATTGCCATTGTTGGTGTTGTTGCTGATGGCATGTGTATAGACGTCTGATGGATGTTGTATATATATATATATGTGTGTGTGTGTGTCTTTTTATATGCTGGGAAGTGGATTTGTGTAGGAAGTGCGCGCGCGAAGAAACTGGCTTGTCTATATAGTTTTGTGCTGGAAAGGAGGCTTGACACAAGCTCGTGTTGAAAAGGAAAACAGAAGAAGATGTGGCAAGAAGCAAAGAGATCTGAGAAGATGGAGTGACAGGAGACCAGGGGAGGGAAGATGAGCTCCGCAGAAGGACAACAAGTCAGATGAGATATGTCTAAGCAGCTCCATCTTTCCGGATCACGGATATCTCTTTACTCGAGCCTCGGAAATGGCGGGATATAGTCATCATTGAAATTTGTGCTTTAAAGAGAATCACTAGCTCTGCTTTTCGGATCTATCTTGAGATTTCGCTCTCAAGATGATCTTATCCGGGTAAGAAAGGAGATGTGAGTGTGTGAGTGTGTGTTAGCGTGGGGGGACGTTGGAGGCGGATCCGGGTTCCGGGGTGCGGAGTGTGGGGTTGCGAGAGTGAGGGGCAGTCCGGAGATGCGTTCCGGAGAGGGGAAGCTGGATATGAAGATGGTGAGAGTCTATTGGTTCGGAGGAGGTGGCCGCGGACGTGGCTGGATGAAGGAGTTCCGGGGAGATGCGAGACCAGATTCAGGAATTGGGAGGGAAAAGGGTCACTTGAGCGGTGTCTGACCACCCAGATGGAACTTGCAGCTGCTGGCTTGGTGGCGAGTAGAATCCAAAGCTATCGTGGCTCAGGAGTATGGCAGATCACAGATCTGGGTTTGTGGAGTAGATGGCATGATTTTGTGGTTTGACAGTTGTGTGATATGTGGTTCGATCTGGATTTCTCATGATACGATTCACGAAGGGGATTCCGTCAAAATATGAAGCATATAACAGAGCTTGCACCATCATATTAATTCTGTCAAGTAGACGCATACGTGACCAACATCTCCATGTACATGCCCATCCCACCACCAAATTATACCACCAGCATGAAGCATCACAAGTCCCTGTGAATAGCAGGCACGCCCTGCGCCTTGCGAATCTGCTCGCCCCGGTAAATCAGCAATATCAAGGGACACCACGTCACAAAGTTGGCCACGGCAAAGACCCCCCACGCGACATCAAACCCGGCAGAATCACCAAACGGCAGCGCATAAAAGCCAATGGTAAACGCAAAGATCTGCCGGAACAGGTTGATAATGGTCGACACCTCGGCGGCCTGCGGCTTGTAGCAGTCGGAAATGTACGAGTAGGTCAGCGTGGTGCCGGCCTGGACGCCGATCGAGGCGACCGTCATGCCGACGGCGAGGGCGATCCAGGGCGCGTGGTTCGCGACGGAGACGCCGTGGATGATGAGGCCGGCCGGCAGGAACAGGCCCAGGGGCGCGAGATGCAGACGGGCCTCGGGCTTGCGGTAGCCATCGTGCCGGCGCGCGTAGCGGTTGATGAGCCAGTCCGAGATCCAGCCCGTGCAGCACTCGCCCATGATGCAGCCCAGCGTCAGCGGCACGCCGAGCAGCAAGCCGTTCTGCGCCGTGTCGAAGTGGTACAGGCGCTCCGAGATGCTCGACGCCGTCAGCACGAAGACGATGGAGCCGTACGTGTTGGTCGTCATGTAGTAGACGCACGGCAGCACCACGGCGGCGTACTTGAGCATCTTGAAGTTGGCTAGAAAGTCGGACCCCTTGAGCTTGCGGTCAATGACCTTGCCGCGAAAGGCCAGGCGCTGCCAGTAGGAGCGGTTCTCGAGCGCGCTGAACTCGGTCCGCGAGAAGAGCGTCTCGGGGAAGGACACGAGGTAGAGGGCCAGCACGGCGCCCATCATGATGGCGTTGACCTTGAAGATCCAGCGCCAGCCTTGGTCCTTGGCAATGAAGCCGCCGGCGATGGGGCCAAAGTGAGGCTGTTGCGTTTAACAAGTCAGTCTTGTGAGTTGTGTCGGATGACTTAGTATGTGGAAGGGGGGGAAACATACGCCGTTGGTCAGGGCGAGGGCGTAGAAGCCAATGTACTTTCCGCGCTCTCCCTGGAAGAACATGTCGCAGATCTTAGAGTGACACGTTAGCTGACGGCTCTACAGATATGATTCACAAAAAAGTGAGTCTTCTCACCGTGGCACCTCCAATGGCGAGAGCGACGCTGGCGCCGATACCGACGATGCATCTCGTGAGAATCTGCGTGCCGTACGACGGCGCATACGCCGAACCAATGTTGGCGCCAATAGCAATCAGCGTGAAGATCTTAATCCAACCGAAGACGGTCAGCAAGGACACGAACTTTGTGTATCAGCAAAAAAAGAGAGCAAACATGGAGCGTGCGTACCAGGTAAGCTGGGCGTCTGCCGTACAGATTGACAAAGGGCGTGATGAGCAGGGGCGTCACGCCGCCGAGGAGCGTGTACGAGGTGGTGAGGTAGCTGGCCTGCTGGTGCGTGACGCCGTAGCTGGCGGCAATGGGGCCAAAGGCGGCCGGGACCATGCCGGCACCGACTACGATTGTCGCGGATGCCCCGTGTTAGTCGTGGTTTCTTCCAAGTCTGGGCTGGGAGCGAAGAGTTATGTATGATGCTCACACTGCACGACAAAGGCAAGCAGGCAGAGAAGACCGAGGACGTAGTACTTGTACCAGTACGGCCAGTTCTGAATTGATTCGGGAGCAGCAGCATCATGTCAGCAAACTTCGGGCCAAGGAGTGCGATGGGAGGGGGATTATCAAGGGATTCAACGGTCACGACATACCAGAGGATCATCCTTGTGGTCGCTGGGCTGCGGCACCAGAGGCAGGCCACTGGCATCGAGCTTCAGGCCCGATGGGGGCTCCTTGCTCTCCGGATCAGACCCCGTCTCAAAGGCAGACGGGCTCTCCTCGATGTGTGCCGCGGAGGGAGCTGCGCGGTTGGCTTTGAAGGCTTTGAGGGCCATGTTTGCACGAGGGGTCTTGACCAGGTAGACGACGACGACGATGCAATGGGAGATTGAACAGGCAAGAATTGTTCTTATATCCTGAGGATGAAGAACTGCCACAAGGAGAAAAGGAAGGAAACAAGAGGGGAGGCAACGTCGGGTATTAAAAGGCAAGCGATTATTGAACCCTCGACAGACGGTGAGGCTGCGTCGCGCCCATCGCGTCTTTTGAATCTTTTGGGTATTGAAGCTGCCACCACTAAAGCGGGCATTTTAAGGGGGAAGAAAAAAGCAGTTCGAGCAAGTTATAAAATGTCCCGGCACGTCTAATGCCCCGCGCAAGCAGCCTCGCGGGGATTTGGGGAAGCATCCGGGGTAATAAGCACTTGGGGGGTAGTATTTTTGCGTCTTATTCCCATTTGGCAAGATTTTGACGACCGGCACGGGTGACAGATCAATCAAATGGAACGCGGCTAGGAAGAATGACTGATTTGAGCTATCACTGGATACCTTTTGATTGAGGGGAAAGGGAGCGGGAATCTGTTGTGAGGGATGCGGCATCCGGGGATGGTTGGGGGGGAGGACGTTGACCGAGGAGAGAGGCATGACCAGGCGCTGATTTAATAGTCTGGAACTTGGGAACAAGTCTGTCCGTTTTTAGAGTTGTGACGGATTACTCTCAATGTATTGACCGAGATCCAGTTTGAGCGGAAAAACGATTACTTCTTCTTACCTACTAGTAGTAGTTCTGGTAGAGAAGAGAAGCATCCCCGGAGAGCGTCTCCGAAGAAACTCGGTGGAGGTACAGGGACTTTGTACCTCTTTAGCCCGGTGGGACGTCTCCGCTTTTTGTGTCCCGAATCGACAGTTCCGTGTGGATGGGCTAAATTCGGATTGCGGGGTAATTGGAGGGTGTCTAGCCGGATCAGGCGAGGTACCGATGTACCTGCCGGAGGGGCGATCCGGAGTGCTGGGACGGAGATCCGGAGGTGACGATGCACAGAGATTCTGACAGGTGTGACGGACGGATTGGATCGTGTTGGAATAGCAGTAAAATGCAATTGTAGAGTATGGAAGTATTATTATCAAAAAAGGAGATACAGATACAGATAGATATAGACTGATAGGTACTTGCGAGTCTAGGCAACCGTTGCAGTTCTACGCTGTACAACACCATGTCCTTCATATACACGTACCTACATACACAACCAGAGCTGCCTCGAAAGATCCCACTCCTGTTGAACCACCAGACTCTCTCCTATCCAATCCGAAAATTGATCCGCCGCACAGGCGCAAACAGCTCCTCAACCGGCACCGTCCGCTCAATCATGTTCTGCTCATGCAAAAACCGCACCAGCGCCTCCAGCGTCCTGCGGTTCTCCTCCACGCCATACGGCCAGCAGTCGCCGCCAAACGTCTCCCTGATCTCGTCGAGATCGCGCCCCAGCCACGGCAGCATGTACCGCAGCGCCCCGAGCGACTGCATCCTCTTGCGCGCAATCTCCTTGCTGTCCTCGAGCGCGTTGAACAGCGCCGACGCCACGAAGCGGTTGGCCTCGTAGAACTCGCGCCGGAAGGCCACCAGGTGCATGATGGGGAAGATGCCCGTCCGCTTGAAGTACTCGCTCTCCACGTCCTTGAAGTTGGGGAACAGCCGCTGCACGTGCGGCGCCCGCCCCAGGCACTCGGGTATGTCTGCGCCAATCGTCGCCGCGACCTCGCCGCTCTCGAGCAGGTCCGAGAGGGACTTGGTCGGGTCCGCGTTGCGCGTGATCTTGACCGGCTTCAGCAGCGGCAGCACCGACGGCTGGCCGTGCGACCCGGGCGTCTCCATCTTGCCCTCGACCCATTCGATGCTCGACAGGTCGACCCCGTACTCGTGCTGCAGGATGCCGCGGATGTACACGGCGGCCGTCATGTGGTACAGCTGCACGCCGATGCGCTTCCCGTTGAGGTCCTCTGGTTTCTTGATGATGTTTGTGTTGACGCAGATGAACGAGTGCCGGAAGACGCGCGACGCGAAGACGGGAATGGCGACGAAGCTGCGGTCGCCGGCGACGTGCCGCGTAATGTACTCGGACGCGGACAGCTCCGAGACGTCGAATTCCTTGTGGGCGACCATGCGGTCGAAGATGTCGCGCGGGTGCTGGACCTCGATGAAGTTGACGTCGAGCCCCGGCGTGGGGACCTCGCCCGTGGCCAGGGGCACCATGCGGTCGTAGAGGGCGCAGGCGAAGTTGACGCCGAGGGGTGCCATGCTGCTTCTGACGAGGTTGAGGCTGATGTTTGTTGTCGAGGGATTCTATCAAGGTTTGTCGTGATTTCAGTGAACTATTCAGCAGGCATCAGGAGGATGAATCATCTATTATCTAGGAGCTGTGTGAGAGCTTCTTGAGCTGCTTGAGCTTCAACAACGGTCCGGCAACGCATTCCGGTCTCTTACACGGTGAGTCTAGCCTGGAGATAAGACGGAAACGAAACGCTGCGTCCCGGCTATGAGCTCCGGAGCTATTACATTGATAGTTCCTCTTCCCATGCAACGCCCAAGGAACCCATAGCATAGCGGCACGCCGTTGCAAAACCCTCTAGATAGAACATCCACCAGAAACGTAGGGTTATCCTTGAATCGGGACTCGAGATTGCAACTTCATCTGAAGCCGAGAGATCGTCCGGAAAATCCAAGGAACAGCCCCGGATCTCGATGTCGCGCCCAGCTCATCCCGCCCCCCCATGATATCATCCAAGCCAACGGGTACAGAGCATCTCCCAAAGCCTGTCTGCCGTCAAATCACAACAGGGCTCAGGGCTCACTGCCCATTCTCCAGACACGGAGGTTGTCCCAAATCGAGAACGCACCAGCCACAGCTCGATCCGAGTTTGATTGGCCCATGCCTTATCCCCTCTCAATCTTTACGCTCGTGCAACTGGTGCATCACACAGAAATCTAGCAGAAATCCCATTCTCCTTGTCCATCTGACGCCTCTTCGATGTCATTCTGCGCCACATCCTCACACCCAACCCCAAAACAACAATTTCTCTTGTTCCATCCAATCCAAATCAATCGCGTTGCACACTTTAATACCTTGCCTTATGCATAAAATCCAATATTCCACCAGCTTGAACTTGCCAGCGCATAAGCTTCCCCCTTGAATACGGCATAGTCCCATCCTCAACCAAGAAAACAAATTCCCTGTCTCAATCAGTCAGTCCACCGCCCATCAATCCAAACATGACGTCACGTATGAAAACAACAGTAAGCAGCAATACAACACATACACAATGTCTCAAAGCTCGTCCGTCCCAAGGCAATAATATCCATCTTTTCTTTTTTTTTTCTCTTTTTCAGCTCGGCGGTCCATGTGCTCCATAGAACCCCCGACCAACTGGCTTTTCTTTGCGTAATGCGAAACTTTGTCGATCGCCATGTGCAAACGGCAGCGGGATTTTCCAAAAAGCGTTGCCTGGGGATTCAAAGGTTCCACATTCATTTTCCAAATCGCGATCTCTCCGTTTTTGCCTATACTGTATTACACACGAGTATGTATGTATGTGATACCTATTTGCATCTCGAGTGCAACGTAAGATCGATACAGCATATACAGCCCCAGAAAGAGCCCGTCTTTTAATCATAATTCAGCTCAGGAACATTTGTCTGCGTAATGTAAATCTTATGTGAACCACCAACTGACAGCATCGCTTCTTCAATCAGAGCAAGTTCAATCACAAACCCCCCCAGACCGCCAATCGCACATCTCACATACATACAAGCATCGAAAGACAAGCAACTCACAAAATTCCATCATCTTGATCTCAACTAGCTCAGGGCACCCCTGCCCAGTGAAGTCACCCTCCAAACCGCCTCATCCAGTCAAACCAGCCCGCCTCCCCCTCCCCCCCCTTTCAGCCAAACCCGCGTTTTAGCGACGGCTAAATCCCCCCTGACACACACCTTGACACCCTCCTCCCCCCAAGCATCGAAGCCTCCACACAAACTACTGGTAATAGTAGTTATAACTCCCAGACATTCACAAAGAAGGTAGTACGCCCGGGATGGCACCCACACCGATTTGCAATACTGTACTGTACAGTATGTAGAGTGGAAATCTTCCTAATCCGTCTCGGTTGACCTCAGCCCAGAAACAGGGATTCTGTGGGGTTGCACTATCCTTCTGGAATTACATTGAGCACGAGAAAAAGATCAGATTGCGATCGAGGCTGGTGCTTCTTCGGCCGGATATTTCACTCTGCGCCCCCCTCCTCCTCTCTCTCTCTCTCTTCGTCTTGGGTGTCTGAGCATCTTGGCTCAGAAAGGAAAAAAAAAAGCATCCATGTACAGACAACGCATCTTCGTCTCCCTTGCGTCAAGAATATTTTGACTGCATGTTTCACCAATCTCGCTTCTCTTAAAAGAGCTTCTTCCTCTTGGCTCCTGTTTGTTGTTCAGTCAACAAGCCGTCCGTCTCATTCCCAACTCATCTCACCCTACCCAAACCATATATACCCAACAATCCCATCCATCCATCCATCCATCTATTCTCTCACAAATCTCAACCCAAACCCATCACAATCCTTCCCTTACAACACAAACAACCACCCCCCAAACCACAATGACCACCTCAGCCACATCATCACCATCAACAACAACCACCACAACCACCATGCTCTCCCTCCCCTCTCCCCCATCATCCTCCTCCTCCTCCTCTTCAAACCCAACCCGCCCCAGCTTCAACTCCCACCGAACCCAAGACCGCCTCCGCGAAGGCGAAACCCCCTACGTCCTCTTCCGCACAGAAACAAGCAACCTCCAGCGCGGCCGCAAATCCGTCTTCAAAGAGACCGGCCTCCTCGACGACATCGCCATCACCCCCGACGTCAACCTCAACAACATCGTCGCCACCAGCGCCGTTGCCATCAATGTAAGCGACGAAGACGACAGCAGCGCCAGCGGCGTATCCCTCCTCCAGTCACCAATGACGCCGCCCACGTCTTTGACAGAGTCAGATTCACAGGCAAACCAGCCTCTGCAGGATATGTCCGTACAGGCTAGGAGTACACTGGAAGAATCATCATGGTATGTCTGGATGCTTGTACTGACGTTGTTTTTTTCTCGCTCGCGATGCTAATGGAGGCATATAAGACCATCGTGTTCGTTGCCGAAAGCTCAAACAACATCATACATACATACATAATACACCACTACACTCGCTTGTCACCATGCTTGCACTCGCTCAACCCCAACCTCTTCAACATACCAATCGCTACTTTGAATCTCAATGGTAAATTAGCTCGTGGGAGCAAGGATCGAATGATCGGCATACCAGCTACATGACATCATCGCTTAAAAGACTCGAGTGTGCGAAACACTCCGCATCTGTACAGTACTACAACACGCAGCTGGATAGGACCCAAATACAGGATATTTGAGAACTCAAAGATCATGAATGAACACCATCCATTCCATAAAACTGCCAAATAGTCTAAAGAGGGGTATATATCTGCCACCAAACATGTAAAAATGCTCCAACCCGGTACCGACGGTAATGATACCATGATGCGTGCGGCCAAAAACATCGCTTCAGGAATCCTCCAAATCACAAGAGCAGCCGCCAGCCCATCAAGTATTCTCCAAAATATATATATCCAAAACGCCATGAATGCACCATTCAATATCGTCAGTCATCCAAACCATAATACACAAGAAATACCAGGTGAAACCAAGAATCCAATCACATCTTTTCCAGCTCCTCCTTGGGAACCGTGCTAACAAAGGCGTGCTTCAGAAAGTGCAGCCAAGCCTTGTTGTCCTCCTTCTTGCCCTTATTCTTCTTGCCTTTGCCCTTTTTATTCTTCTTGCCCTTCTTGAGTTCTGACGCGGGCGCATCGTCAGTGCCATTGTCTGCTTCTGCGTCTAATTCGTCGTCGTCATCGTCTTCGTCTGTATAATCGTTTGTCTTTGCGGCCATATCTTCGTCATCGTACATGTCGAATGACTTGCTCTTGCTGCCCCCTTTCTGGCCCATCCTGTAAGCCAGCCTCAGCAAGCTCTTGACCGTCAAGTCGGGCAGCTTGTAGATGTTATCGTCAAAGGTGCTGTACTCCACTTGGTATTGGAACTCGCGGGGATTCGGGTCTCCGTGCTTGGGCTCCTTGTGGTCGTGTTTGCCCTTACGCCACTTGCTGGTGTCAGCTTCGACGCCGGGAAGATCGTCGTTGATGTGGGTGAGGTTGGCAAAATACTGTGTGTATCCCGTCAGGGTGAGCAGTTGGGGGTAGTAAGCTGGGCCAGGCAGCGCATCCTCAGGAGGGTCCAGAGGAATAATCAGGTCGTGGTCCTTGGGCGGCTTGCGAGCCTTGCCTTTCTTCTTGTCCTTCTTCTTCTTATCCTTTCTCATCTTCTTGATCTCAGCCATGATTGCTTCCCTGTCCTCGTAATCGCGGTTGTCCTCTGGCACCGACAAGGGCTCAGGTGGGTTTGTCTGATCATACGCATCTCGCCACACGGGCGCGTCTTCGATGCCGGTAATGTTGTACTCATATATGCGAAGCGTGGGAAAGAAGTTGGGTACAACGCTTGGGCTGATGAGCGACAGCTGATAACGCTCGGCGTATTTGCCGCCAATTTTGCCCAGCTTGTCCTTCTTCTTGCCCTTCTTCCCCTTTTTTTTCTTCTTGCCCTGCCCCGTCTCATCGTCAATGTCACGGACAACAGACTTGGGCAAGTCGGACCACTTGTCCCGCAACTCCTGCAGATAATCCTCCTTGGAAGCAATGGTCATGGTTTCGTCAGGAGACTCGCGTTTATGAATATTGTCAGCTCCGAGCTCTGGAGTTAGCTCCTTGACATCCTGAAGCAGGAAGTGGTCAATGTTCATGTGTCCGTAGACGGAGCCGACGACAACGTCGCGATACTGCTTGAGCCACAGAGTGTACTTTTGCCAGCACGTCTCGTCCCAAAGCTGTTTGCTATCCGTCCGAGCAGGTGGCACGTGGCCCATGAGAATGGCCTTGACGCCGCGCTCCCTCAGGATCTGCAGCTGCACGCGCAGCCAGTCCATGTGCTTGTATCCGGGCTCCGAGGGATGGGCGCAGCCGTCGACACCGGCGTTGCGATCGAAAAAGTACATTGTATTGAGGCTGAAGACGGCGAGCTGGTCGGGAATAACCTCGACGTAGAACCAGCCGCCAAAGGCAAAGGAATGGCGCTGCGCCTCGGGAATGAAGCGGCGCCATATGTCGCTGTAGTTTGTGAACCACTTGTTGGGCCCTGGCAGCATGATGTTGTGCGGGAGGAAGTCATTGTTGCCAAAGTTGGGCACAATGGGGATATCGAGCCCACCTCCAGGCGAGGAAAAGGTCTCGACAAACTTGTCGGCGATGAAGCGGTTCGTCCGCAGGATCTCGGGCTGGTGTCGCGGGTTCTGCTCGTCGCTGTCGTGCCTCGCCGAGTCGCCTGTCCAGAGGACAAAGTCAATGTCGTCCTTAATGTTCTCCTTAATCCAGGCAAAGGTTGCGTTGACAAGCGAAAAGGGCGTGTCGCAGTCTGTCTTTTCGGCACCGTAGAAGCCGGCCAGTCCTTTGCCGCGATGGCATGCGATGCCTTCTTCGGTGGAGGAGTGCGCGCGATAGAGCTCGTCGGGGTGGAAGTCTGCATCAATTGCCACGGTCAGCCGAACTGCATGATTTGCCAATTATCCTCGAATTGATGTGATGCAATGCGATGCCATGTAGCATCAGCTAATGGGAGAGGCAAGGTCGACTGATGGTGGGTGGCACCGAGACATCGGAATGAAATAAAGGGTCCATAACCAGCGTCGCACTGCATTTGCGCAAGATAAGGCAGGGAAGCTCCAGTAGAAGCAGGTGAGGCTATTCCACCCTCTCTTCTTTATTTCGGATGGTGTGCATGGGGTGCCAATAGCAGACGGGGAATAACAATCTGGACGCACCTGTGATATGCAGGAACCTGCCGTTCAGCTTCCGCTGCTGCTGCTGCTGCTGCTGCTGCAGTGGTAGAGGATCAGAATCAGGTTTGATGGGGCGCAGAATCTTCTGGTCGACGGCTGGCGAGGGCAATGCGAGGACATTTGCGCTGCATGATGCGAGGGTCAGCAGCATCAGCTGGTGCCATGGAATATGGGCGCCGCCGCCGAGTTGGCGAGGCATCGTGAGAAAGTAGGTATGTTGATGCAGGGTTTGAGTAGTAATAGTATGGCGATGATTGTTTTCTCGTTGTCGCTTTAGGTTTTCGTAGGGATGCGGATTGTACGCCTGTCTGTGTAGGTAGGAAGATGCAGTGATGAGAGGAGATTGTGTGAGAAAAAGAAGAAGTGAAGTGAAGCAACCAGAAGAGACAACAAACAAGACAGTAAGTAAACAAATAGAAAAACCCAGAAATTGAGGCGCCTCAAAAGTTAAAGATGCATCGCTCGCACGAGGCTTTTGACGCCAACAGAACTTTTCCCCCCAGGGGTCCAAAGGGGCTGAAGGCCGTTTAATTGGCGTGGCAGAGGCTGAGGCTATGAGGTCATCGGTGGCCAGTCCGATCCGCTGGCGATGCGTCCCAGATTGCCGGTCGGGGCTTTCGGCCTGGTTGAGACACGAGGAAGAGACAGATTGTTTCAAAGGCGGAGGATGTGATGAAGTAGTAGGTGATGATGAAGAGAGAGAAAAATTGAAATCCTGTATGAATGGATGCTCAATGTGTTGCGAGGCTGTATAGGTATACCGGTGTACCTTGATGGCCCAGTGTGAGGAGAAAGGAGAGGAAGAGGAAGAAGAAGAAGAGAAAGTTGGGAGACAAGAAGAAGAAGACGAGGCTAAACACAAGACGATCAACACTATTAATAACGGCCCCAGACCCGGCCGCTGCCTTATGTTGTCAGCCCGTCTTGATCACATCCCCAGCCAAGCTCTTGGCCCAGCATTTTGATCGCTCTCCGTGATCCATCTGCTCCCCCTTCCCCGTAATATCCTGTGAGCCGCGAATGCCCAGCCCTGAGGCCCCTGCTGATGATCCTCATCCTCCCGCTGCCCGTTTTCTCCTACAGCTACTATGTACTGTCGCCAATTTGCCCGAGATGCTGTGCATCCGTCTCCACCAACATCCGCACACTGTCGTCCAGCCAAGCAGCCGCATCTCCGAGACCTCATCACCCCTCGAACCAAAAAGTAGGGGCTGCTGAGCCGTCTGTCTGACTCTGGCTGGCGACTGTCTCGATCATTCTTCCACCCACCACCGCGATGCTTATTACTAGTAGCGACAGCACTAACACCAACCTCTGCTCAATAAATCGACAGCCATCTTCGCCTAGCTCCAGCCTAGTATTCCGACATGCCGGACCCTTTTTCTGTGATGCCCTGTCTGCTAATTCTTCCTTTTTCCATCGCCGTCTGGGCCAATCCAGCTCCTGGCCCGGCTCCACGTGCGGTGACGAGACGCCATCAGTCGAACCTGCTGGTGCCACCACACGCAGACAAAAAGCTGCGAGAGACTGACCACGCGACTGGATCTGTGTGTGAAGGAGCCATTTTATCCTTTTTTCTGTTTGTGTTCACCGCGACTTCTGTTTCCTCCTAGGTACTCTCCGTCTCCATACATTATTTTTCCCCTACTACCGACTTTCCCGCTCTTCAATGATTGCTCAGCTTGTTATTGTTTGCGACATTCCTGACAATGCCGTCCGATCTCTTTCTCTTCATAAAACAGGGCAAACTCGTCTTACTCACTGCAGATCGTGGCTGCGCACCCTTGGCATCGCTCACCTGAGCAGTAATTTTCTTACTGAGAACAGATGACACCCGCGCCAAGCGGTAGCTGTGCTTGTGGTCGCGTGCAACCAGAGGACATACATCCATAGGCTGCCTAACCATGCATCTGATTCTCTTCAGTTGCAATATGCTTTGCTGCAGTCAATATAGCCTGCTGGAAGTGAATGCATCAACCTTATTCTGGCAAGATGCTGCATGCGTGATGTCACTTCACCAGCAGGAACCCTCGTACAAGTAGGTATATCAGCGGCTATAAGCGCTGTCAAGATTGCATCAACCTGCTGAGACATGCATGGCCTACCGCTGTCACCATCGAGATGAAAGGTAAATACTCGTACTGTGATCTGCCCCTCCTCGTTCACCCATCTCGCAGTGCTTGCACGCTTCAAGCAAGGAAACTAGTACCCAAGGTAGTACAGTACATGGAAATGCCATCATTCTATCTCCTCAGTCAGAGACGGCCCTTCCACACACAGAACCTATATCATCCATGCCACCCAACGAGCATCCTCGAACAAGACTGCCGCCAACCCCGAGACAACTTCGCCACCTGTGTCACTCTCAGCTGCCTCTCTCACTGCAACCCTCTGCCCACGCGCGTGCTGTGTGACACCTGCTGGTTTGATGCACCACGGCCAGTTCGGTTGATCTCAACCCAAGTGTCATGTTCCATGCTGCAAATCAGGAGCGATCTCAATGAGAGATATAATCAGGCCAGTCTTATTGACATCCCGAGAGCCTCACCGAGACAGGTGACGATGTTGCGAGGTATTGTTCCCCAGCCCCGAAAATCCCCCAATCATCCATGCGATTTTCTTCCCCAGACTTGTTCTTCAACACTCAGCATTTGACTCTCGCAGCCCCGCGACGGGATTAGTTTTACGACAAACCCGTACCTCAACCATCACGAGTCACGCTAGTCCCAAAACAGACATTTCCAAACCGACCACTTTTCTTCGCGTTTTTTTCGACGCCAATTTTGTTTCTTTCTTTTCTCCTTCATCATGCAACACCCTCAACATGAGCACCTAGTCCAAGGTGCAAGGCCTTCTCTTTTTCTCGTAGATACGTCGCAGTTGCAGGACTTACGTTGCTAGACGAATATTTGCCGCTCGTTTGAGGGGGGTCATAGATGCTTCTTCTGTGATGGCTCCCCATGGTTTTCGTGGCTACATTCTGTGTTCTTCTTGACCTCTTCTGACTGAATGATCGTAGGATGAAGACTCCTGAAAGGGGATGGCAAGGTGCTATTTCTCTCAGCCTGCCGATTCTGAGCGCTGTCTTCAGACCATCTCGACACTCGTCGTAACTGCGAAGTTTGGAGATGCCTGACGGATGCGAACACGCTATCAATGCACCCTTTTGTTGCTTGCAAGAGACATCGACGAAGTCCATCAGACCTGCAGGCACGGAGACAGCCAGGCCGCTAGCTGTAGGATTCCCCAGATTGACTTCACATCTTGTGGTTTGTTCAGTAGAAGCAGATCAATCACAGTCTTGTGGTGTGTCAGGAAAACGGTTGGATCAAGCTCTTGACAGATACAACGCCGCGGAGTACAGCAAGAACGGACGCGACCTTTGACGATAGACGTATTGCTTGTGCCTGCTCGCTGGCGCCTAAAGAGTCACACACGACTTGCCGCATCGTATGGAATGCGACTTGCTCAGCATGCCTTTCTGGTGGTACATCATGAAAGCTCGGGCAACGGATGGTTTGGCAGGGAGTAGCTAGCCAGCACACCAACTTGTCTATCCAGCATCCTATCAATCCTATTGGTATATATCGCTTAGTACTGCTACTATCACCGTACCTACTTCAAAAAGGAGAGTCGGTTGTTCTTCTCTGCTACTAGTGCTATGTATCTTTTGTCCTTCTATATACTCAAGAATTTCTGTAGGTACATAGAGTAAAGAAACGCAGGTTTGACAATAGACTTTAGATATCCAAGTTGGAGTGCTAGCTAGGCACTTCTTTTTCGAAGAGCTTGACTCAGGGCTTGGCCAGTGATACATTGACTTTGACCAAGGCAAGACAGAACCACATGTCGTCGGGAGCTTTTACTTTATCCGGTGGGGGACTTGACCTACTTCCCGAGGCGCATCATAAGGTCTTTCTTCGTGAAAATCAGGGGAGTTTATCAAAATTGGGGTGGAGGCTGTGTCCTCGGCCGAGCAAGACGATGTTTGGGGCCGGACAACGTATCGCCGCCCGTCACACAACCTGCCAGGCCGCTGCGCATACCCGCAGTGGCACAGAGCGCAGGGATCAGTTGCATCTGGGCCGAATTGGCTGTGTATCAGCCGCACCTATATATGCAACTTGGAAGGGCGTTGCGGGCTGTTTATCGCCATCGCCGCAGCTTTCAACCTTCCCCGGTTCGTCTGAAGCGGTCACCATGGCCCTCAGTATCATCTGCCTTACTTCCATTCTCCGCAGTTACTCTTTGGACTGAACACAAACATCAAGGATAGGTCGGCCAGCTCGCCCTCGCCTTGTCGACATTCGTCTTGTAACAGCACCGAACCATTGTGCCTTAGCAAGTGCATTATATAACTTAATGCGCAGGGTTCAGCTATAAGAACATGATTTCGAATCATGAGAGTGATTTCCGTTAGCCTGTTCATCTCTCGTTGCCACAAGACAGGAAGGTTAGTACCGGCCCCCCAGCAATCACCACGTCTCCCGTGATTGATTGAAGTTGGCTGCTATCTGGAGATGGCTGTAAATTGATGAGGAGGTGCTCGCGACTCACACAAATAGTTGGTCAGCCTTGGTGCCTTAGCTAAATCAGGTTCACAACGTGTCGTCATGGGCAAAACAACGAATAGGCTCGCCAAAGCTAGAGGTATCGGTTGTGAAGCTGCCGATACCAAATCTATGGTAGGCCGTCATGCCCTTTCCACACGGGCGTGGCCGTTACATGAAAATGACTCTGAGATTCTGCTCGTTTAAGGTAGGTAGCCTGTCGAAGCAGGGTACATGGTGGGTTCGTACTTGTGCCGCTGTCCAGATCTCCAAGATTTGGTAATGTTTCGACCCTCTTACCTAGATATTTAAGAATGAAGGGGCTAGTAGCTGGTATATGTAGGTATTGCCAAGGAGTCCTCCTATTTGCACCATAACAGATTCCGATCTTAACCATAGTAGTCTATGCCAGTAGCTAGACTAACGCCCTAAGTAGAACATCCCACACCCAAGCACTACAGTACAGTAATGCGTACTAGAAGTCATTACTTGTATTAAGGAGATATAAGGTAGAGGGCATACAGGACTAACACTTAAGTACTGCTGTCTCTGCTGCTGCCTTTACTGCTGCTGCGGCGGTTGCCTCCTTAATCCTATAGAACTAATAAGCGCCGCCGTTTACTCGCGCTGTAATAGGGTGGTCGGCCGCCGTGATGAGGTCGGCCGCTGTGATGTAATCGGCCGCAATAAGGTTGGCCGCGTTAAGGTCGGCCTTAAGGTCGGCCTGAGGGGGTCAGCTTTAAGGTCGGCTCTGAGGTCGGCTGCGATAGTTAAACATAGAAGAGCCGTGACCTGTTGGGGGAAGGTACAACCCACAGTGTGAGAGGGATATATAAGGCCTGTATTCTAGGTACCCAACTTGGAAGAATCAAGCATCCTTTACCATAATTTTCAGACCTTCGTTATTGTGTGACGGCAAGCCTGCCATTAGCTCACACTGTAGGTGGGTGTGCCGTTATAGACTTGACGGTGTGTGCGCAGGAAATTCACGCTGCCTTATGCATAGACCACTGCGGTTTAGATAGAGATTTGCTATGATGCAAATAGGAGGACTCTTGCCAAGCACCCAGTTCGAAGCCGGATTATTTTGACACATAAGTTTCTCTTAGGTTCTATTTAGAAGCATTCAAAGCGCTGAGATACAATCTTGACAATATATGCAGGTTTGTGCCTTTCTACCTTACGTAAGGATTTGTAGGTAAGGAGCAATATAACAAGAAGCAGCAGGTCCGCTACATTTCGGCACTGAGCGCTAAAGCCGAGCTGGCAAGCGAACATGGAAGCCAGATTGAAAGTCTATCGTTGTGAAACGCTTGCAAAGAAGCTGATTTTGTGCGCTGGCTCGCTGGGCCTCGACTAAAGTGGAAAGTGTGCCGCAGGTGCGCAAACGGGTACTTGTTGTCCGCGGTCCAGACCCCACAATTTTGGACCTCTGCTTCATTGTCCAGTGTGACCATATGGACGTAGCTGTTGCGGCAGCATGCCCGACTACCTACGTGGGCATGCATGTAGGTTCGAGCTGCATGCAGCTGCTTACATATGTCTAGGTAGGCACATGCAAGTAGAGTGCATGAATCTATCTGTATGGCCAGCCGCTGTCTTGGCGTACACATATGCATGCAAACCTGAGTATCGCATGTGCATGTGAGGCAGCCAATCGTTAGGTACCTACTCGCCACTCAAAACGCTTCTCCTTCCCGATCCCGAAGAACTTCGGAGGAAAGTTGATGAAGACATGGAATCATCCACCGCAGTTCCATGCCTACGACGATTTGGCTACTCACATGCATACGCGTACACCATATTTATGTCTGTTCTTCCAGCTCTCCACCGAGTTGCCTTTTTGACTTGCCCAATGTTAAATTTCAATCTACCCACGGAGAGACCCGATCATAATGATCGCCGGCTACCGTGTTTTAGTCTCCCTATTCTTGCCATATTGGCCATCGACGATGAGGTTCAGCGAGTTTGTGCTTCGGGCAATTTCTGCTTTACTGGTGGATGCATTGGTTGTCTTTTCTTGGTTGTCGACTTTGGCGGACGTCGTACGGATCAATGGGTGGCAAGGTGGGGGTGCTGTTCCAGTAGCGCACCAAAGCACCCCTGCTAACGTGAAGCCATATGTACATGATGCAGATGCAACGGGTTGCAGACACCGAACTAAGTGGGTGGATACTATCCATTGATATTCCCGGCTACTACCTGAGGGGACCGACTCGACCCAATCTCCTGGCACCACATACTGCCGTTGTTCTGCAACTTGGGTTGAAATGCCCACCCAATTTACTCGGGCTGTAGGCACACTCCCCTTGGGGATGCAGATGCAGATGCAAGGGGGTCGTGCGTGACATTTTGCCTTCCAGTCCGTCCAATCAGCACACCTGTATCAGTCAGTGCCTACATACTTTGGCACAGTAAATTTGGCCTGGGCGGCTTTCGCTGCCTGCGTGCCAGCCTCTCGGCAGCCAGGGCTTGAGATGTCTAAATCTTACCTATGCACAACGGCGTGGCCATATTGGTCAACTACATGCAGTTGATATATCATATTCTCACTCAGTGGCTCGATTACCTGCCGCATGTACTGCACCTCTGTGTGGTCATCGCGCATTCAGTTTGTGCCGGCAGAGACTCCAAGCTGAGGAAGGAATACTATCGCCTGCTTTCTCGCACATAACAGTGCAGTCAATATGTGATATAGTCATTAGGCATGGCCCTTATCCCCTTGCGCCTTCTTGCCTTGTTTTCTAGTACAAGGTAGCTTCGGCATCACCCGTTACATGGTTTGATAGATATATAAGGCTGCCCTCCTACAGTTCATCATGCATTGTTCTCACTCACTTCGGGTAAACGAACATGGGTTCTCCAACTTGTTAGCTATACGGAACTCTAAAGCCTATCTTGATTCCTCCTGATTACTTTTCGTCAATCATCAGTACTTCAATCTCAGGTCGTGACCATATACTTTGTCTTACGCAGCCAGAGCAGTCCTCTCCACAATGCCCTACCTCGAAATGAAAAGCCAAGTTTCTATTGCAGAGAGCCCTGCGTGAGTTGAAAATAGCTTTCCTTTCTTTCAAGTTCACAATTCACTCGCCCCTCTCCCGCTCGCCCATTTCAAGCTCTACAAGTCACTGCTTAGTGTTACTCCTTGTTGAACTTTCCACATATGCCAGCCTCATCTTTATCACCTCGCCTGGTAGCTGCACTACATCGAGAAGTAGATTTTAATCTTCTTCCAAGATGAGCATTAAAACTTGCTGAATGGTCTTAACCTAAGAGTTTTCTTTACTATTTTTCTTCTAGCCCAGATCATCTGTATAAAGTGGCGTATGGTTCAGGTACAGACATACACTGTCACCACTGTCCATTGTGCCTTATGATGCCACGCAGACCATTCTTGAGCCCCTCCAGCCCAAGGACCCCTATCATATTGCCTTTACCCATTCCACACATTCTTCTCTGCCCCTTGTCACGAATGACACTGAGCTCATCCTGAGCTTAAATCGCATGTCTAACTTCCTTTTCCTGTCTTCGCAGTGATGCCGAAGATACCTGGAGCACCGCAGCCAGGAGTGGTTCGCCGCCACCGCCAATGCGAGTGAGCCGTGATGTTGTCACGCCGACAGGTAATACAAGCACCACCGAGCCACCCCATGCCCGCAGCAGTGGAGCAGATCAGAATGTTCTGCTTGGAGTCGGTTCACAGTTTGCGGTTATTGGTATGTTCAAAGAACTTTGGCTTGCGGATTCTTATACGGACTTGAACTTATACTCCTTGACTTGTATCAGATGACTCTGCCCTCAACGCGGATATTCTTCCCAACCTCTAACGATGACTCATCACATATATCTATATATTAACACGGCGTACTGAATGAACAATTGTGTTGTTATGTTCGGTTTTTGTTTTTCATGTTCATGGTTGGATTAGAGGATACATGAGCATTTGGCACAGATCTGGATGTGCTCAATTGATGAAGCGTTCGCATTGCGCAATGATATCGCGAATTTGAATATAGCCACAATGTGCCTAATCCGAGATGTCTACATAACTTACATCAATGACCATGCTTGGGAGTTTTCTTGAAGTTCCACATTAGTCCTCAGTGCTCTCAGAAGAGTCCCGACACCACTGTAGATGTTGTTTGCCTCCTCAGTCTCTTTGAAAAAAATTGCGACAAGACAACGACCGGCAGAAGTGCCTCGTTCAACGTTTCACGATACCGGTATTAGAAGTTCGCTCGCCCAAATTGCACGCCTAGACAGGGAAGATGGAACATCGGACGTGGAATCCAAAACAGCCTTTTATGGCTGTTCCTGGAAGAGTCTATATCATAATGGATAATATAGGCGTCATACATGTCGCGTACCTTGTGCATAAGGTACCTTACGCAACAGGAGCAACTGAAAAAAGCCCCTGCTGCTCTATAATGCACCTGAACCCAAGTCACCAATACCTCTTACAGTCATTAAAGTATGTACTGCGCTCGATTCTTGACAGTCTTCATGTGAATCACCACCTTCTGTAGCCGCACGTAACAGCAATCGAGCGCCGGGCGGAGGGAGAAGAGGCAATGCATGGAGGAGGCTCAACTAGGTACCTAGGTACTCTACATAAGTACCTGTATGGTGGTGCTCTGCGAAGTACGTACGACTGACACCAGCTCAACCCAAGATGTAATATGGAATAGTAAAGTCTCCATTGGTCGGCTCTGTGAGGACATGCAAAGGAGCATCCATCATGCCTGACATTGGAGCTATAGATAGGATAGGTTAATTCTAGTGGATCGCTGCCTGCCAATCAAACACCCTTTCACTTTGCACAGCCTCAGCAATTGCAAGGAAATTTGCTAGCAATGCAGGGCTGCAGGGCTAGCAACAGTTCTTTCCAGTCTTCCCTTATTTCTTCTTCTACTATAGATAATATACAGTACCTATATACTAAAGTTATAATAACCTATAGGTATTTTTAGGTATAGTATAGCATGCTAGCCTATAGGCAGGGCTTAAGTATAAAAATAAGCATATTAATAACTAGCGCTTAATTTAAGCGCCTAAATTAAGTGCTTAATATTATTTAAGTAGTAAATAAGCTATATATATAAGTAATACTTAATAAGTATACTTATTTTAAGCAGCTTATTTATTTAAAAAGATAAAAATTTATAAATAAAAAAGTTATATAAATTATTATAATAAATTATTATAAAATATATTTTTATAAAGGAAATAATTATAAATATTATATATTATATTTTAAAGCTTTTACTATTAGCTTTTTAAAATACTTTAATAAATATAGTTATTATTAAGTACTGCTTTATTATAAGAAATATTTTATATATATTTTTTAATATAAGTAGTTAAAGTAATAAGCTATTTATAAAATTTATAATTAAAAACTTAAGCTTATTAAAATATTAAAAGTTATAAACTTAAGCTAAAATAAATAAAAGCTTATAAAAATATAATTTTTATTTTTATTATTTTTATTTTTATTATAAAAAGAATTTATTTTTTAATTTTTTAAAAAAAATAAGAATAATATATAATTAAGCTTATTAATATTTTATATTATAAAAGTCTTTTACTTTATTAAGTTTATAAGTTAAAAAAGTATAATAAAATAAAGATTTAAAGTTTTTAAAATATATAAATAGCTTAATGCCTTTTTTAATTTAAAAAGCTATTATTATAGGCTTAGGCTTTGCCTAAGCTTATTAATAAATTAGGCTATTATAGCCTAATAGTTAATTTAGCCTAGGTCTGCCCTAAGGCTAAAGTATACCTAGCTAAAGTAATAATAAGGGGATCGCCGCCGCTAC